TGGTAAGGAGAGTATAGTCTGCTTCCCTTTGAGATAGTGAATGATGTTGTCTTGCAATCAATACTTAACACACATGATCGTAAGGTGAGAAGGAGGTACTACCAGTAATTGCATTGATCAATATTTTAGTGGCCGATCTAGAGGCAGTGTAGTGAGTTGTGGCTGTAGTGACTATATTTCTAATATTCAGACCTCCTAGTTTGAGAGGTAGAGAGAATAGAGATCTGTCATTTGCAGAACATTCCAGTCCAAATAAGGCAGGGATGAGTCAGTTAGAGATAGTAGTTTCCAGAGCAACAAATAGTGACTGACAATTAGGAGTCACACACTGTAAAAAATCCAGTCGTTCTGAAGTCATTTAGTATAAGCTGCATATTCAGCTTGTGGCTGTGAGACAGCAATGTCAGACAAGGTGTCTATCAGAGAGATCCAGCCCTGCACCTTGTCATTGACAAATATATCACATCCACTAGAGTCACCTACCACTCCTCCCTGAAAACGATAACTAGTTGTGATCTTAATACCTAGGTCACTAAATTGATCTTTAGCCTGAGAAATCATAGACTCCTTCACTACAAGACAACTCTTGTGAGGCTCTGGATAATAACCAAACTTGGGGCCATGCAATAATAAATTGTCAAACCACTGATGTATGTGTGGTAACTCACCGGTGACAGAAGCATCATCTGCATACCATATTTGGTTAGGTGAAAGGGGTTAGCTCCTGTAGTGTTCTGATGAATGGAACTGTGCCCACAGCGTAAACAAACATAGATAAAGGGTCACGTTGGACTACCCCTTCACAGCTATACAGAGACTCTGATGATCCGCTGATGATTAGTGGAGATTGACCTCTATATGTGTTATAGACAAACCTAGAGGCTCTGGGCCAGAGTATTGGAATATTCCAGAGTAGAGAAGAGCGGTTGAGAGAGTTAAATGCATTTCTGGCATCCACCATTAGTAGTCCCCAATCTTAGTATCAGACATATCATGAACTGAATGAATAGCTCCCTCAATACTGCACTGAACTCCAGCACAAAGCTGACTGAATCCACTTCCTCAGCATTTGACCTAGTGATAAAACATGCAGTCTTTGATAGCATACAACACAAGGTCTCTCCAATACCTATTGGGCGAACTCCTGGGCATTTGTGTAAAACAATGAGTTTATTAGCCATCAGAGCCTGAATCTTGGTCCAGTCCACAATAGAATTGGATAGCAGTGAGGTGAGGGAAGCTACAGCATCCCGACAGCGAGAACTACAGGAGCCATATTGTAAAAGGACATCTCTCCAATGTGATGAATCACACCCCCCAGGGCCACCACTTCCTTGAGTCCTGTGGGCAATGGTAGCAACATGTGATCCGGTGTCATCTATGTCCTCAAAGGATGGAAGGTCAGAATCTAACAATGTAGAGGAACAAGGCTGTTGTGCTTTGGGGTGTTTAGACTTCAGAACATCCAACACACTAGCAGAGTTGATTTGACCATCAGTCCGAGTCTGTATAATATCAGCGGGGAGTAATACTCCACCCCGAGATGCACTAGACAACCAACGCATGGCTACCCTCACTTTTCCTAGAAGCATCAGTCTTGTCAAAACCTCAGTGATGTGATGAAAAGACTCCTTACCCTTCTTCCTCCTCATTTGAAATGAATAATCACATCGAACTGCCTCTTGAACAAGCACATCATACTTCTCATCAGTCCACATTGATCACCGTCTATTGATCGTTCTTCTGACCTCCTTAGCTTTCTTCACCATCTTATCTCTCTGTAGAATAACTGAGCTGAACACAATAAGTCTCACAGAAACATTACTTCCTTGGGAAAATGACAATATCTCATCAGTGAGAACAGTCAAATAATGACGGCCAATTGCACCAGTGGGTAAAAAATAGTGTGAGCCAGTGAGTTGCGTGATGGAATGCCAGCGAGTAAACCACTCATGGCTAGTATCAACTTGATTCTGGTGTGTAGACTGTGTACCATAAGCCTTGGTCATCAGGTCATCAATTTCTACTTGTCGTAATAAAGAAATACCTCCATTCAAGCCAGCTCCTCCGTCCACAGTGTTGGGAGAGAGGAGGCTAGCATCAGAAGGTCTCCCCTGGGGAAGAGGAGTGGGAAGATGAAGAATAGATGGATTCCTGAGATGGAAACGGGGGGTCCTGCAAGTGGCTGGAAGGTAAGTTATGACAAATGCCCTGTTTCTTGAGCAAAGAAGAGTCACAAAAACGTTCATTTCTCACACAGGAGCATCTAATACAACGAGCACTACTTCTATTGCAGAGACAGCAACGATCCGCCATTTTATTATTTTTATTATTCATTATTTATTATTCATTATTATTATTATTTATTTATTATTTTATTATTATTATTGTTATTATTATTATTATACTTTAAAAAAAAGATAGAATGTTGCGAGATTCCATATTTTTTATTATAGTGTTATAGATTATGATCCAAGGCTATAATTCTTCTGATGATTATCTCATTAATCAGGCCACAGTTACAGTAAGTATTTCCTTTACTCGTTATTATAAGTTACGTATATCACATTGTAGGAAGATTGAAGCTCAAGTATTCAAATTGTTTTGCCTTGATGAACACTATTAATTTCGAGCATTTCTATTGTACTTTCTAATTTGGCTTTACGCTGAAAGATATTTGACTTTTTATCATGTTATAATTAAGGAAAAAAGTTATCTTTTTACATGTAGATCTAATGACTAAAAGTTATATTTCATAGTGTAGGTGTTCCTCCTGCCCCTGCTTCTTGAAGGCCTGGCTCTTGGAATATTATTGTACTTAAGTAAAATGGAGAGAGTTGATTAAAATGGTACTGCAGATTATTTCTAAATCTTACAATTTGACGATTCACTTGGCGAAGTTGCCAAATGATGTTTTGTCTCGCTGCTGCAGAGCTGCCATTCCAGGTGGAGCTGCAGGAGACGGCAAGCCTCCAGGTAAAGTGATTGCTACTGGAGGTGGTGGAGGTGGCGGGTCTGCAGCAAATGGTGGTGGTGGAAGTGGCGGGCCTCGAGCTATTGCCGGTAGTGCTGGTGTTGGTGGCGGGCCTCCTGGAGGTCGTGGTGGAAGCCCTTCATCTCCAGCTACTGGTAGTGCTGGAGGTGGCGGGCCTCCAGCTACTGCCGGTTGTGCTGGTGGTGGTTGCAGGCCTCCTGGAGGTGGTGGTGGAGGCCCTCCATTTCCAGCTACTGGTGGTGCTGGTGGTGGCGGGCCTCCAGCTACTGCCGGTTGTGCTGGTGGTGGTGGCGGGCCTCCAGCAACTGCCGGTAGTGCTGGTGGTGGTGGCGGGCCTCCAGCTACTGCCGGTAGTGCTGGTGGTGGTGGCGGGCCTCCTGTTAGTGGTGGAGGCCCTCCAGCTACTGCCGGTAGTGCTGGTGGTGGTGGCAGGCCTCCTGTTAGTGGTGGTGGCGGGCCTACTTTTAGTGGTGGAGGCCCTCCAGCTACTGCCGGTAGTGCTGGTAGTGGTGGCGGGCCTCCTGGAGGTGGTGATGGAGGTCCTCCATCTTTAGCTACTGGTGGTGCTGGAGGTGGAGCGCCTCCAGCTACTGCCGGTAGTGGTGGTGGCGGGCCTCCTGGAGGTGGTGGTGGAGGCCTTCCATCTCCAGCTACTGGTGGTGCCGGAGATGGCGGGCCTTCAGCTACTGCCGGTAGTGCTGGTGGTGGTGGCGGGCCTCCTGGAGTGGTGGTGGAGGCCCTCCATCTCCGGCTACTGGTGGTGCTGGAGGTGGCAGGCATCCAGCTACTGCCGTTAGTGCTGGTGGTGGTGGCGGGCCTCCTGGAGGTGGTGCTGGAGGCCATCCATCTTAAGCTACTGGCGGAGGAGGAACTCCAACATTCTCGTCATAATCCATGAACTACCACAATGTAAGAAAATAATTAATGGTTAATGTAAGTTTGTAACTGAACTGACTTGCTGCTTTTTCAAAAATGTTGCAAAACTTTAATAAAAGTTAAGTTGAGAGCCGTATGCGGACTGCGGATATTGCTGGAAAAATGGCAACTGAAGCTGAATGTAAACTTCTGTAGTTTCAGAACAGGAAATAAATTTTAGTAATGCATGTTAAAAATGATTAATAATTATGAGCTAGGCTATGAATATAATTAATGATTGAAAAATTCAAAAAATAATGATTGTTTCAAAACTGTTTTTATAATGCAGTAGGTCTTTTTATGTTTCTTATTTCAAAATTCTTTTCTTCAAGTAATGAATCATATTGATATTGATTCATTAAGTTCTTATCATTATCCTAGTAGTTGGATATTCATAAGCATATTGATTGTGTGTGTAATTATGGTCACATATTTTCTTATTTTTTCGTAGTTTATGAATTATGATGAGAATGATGGAGTTCCTCCTCTGCCAGTTG